CAAAGATATGTATTCCAATGCCGGGCAGACTAATTTACATAAGTTTATATTTCAAATAAAGGCCATTTAAAAACAAAACACTTAAATCTATGGAACTAAGTACACTAAAACCTATTGAAAGTGAAAATCAATGTAGTAACATTATTACTTGCACAAAGCCGTAGTTGTACGGTTTCCAATTCTTATTGCCTTTTAAGACTGTTTTGTAACTAGAGAATAGCCTTTAACAAATTTTTACTAACAAATAAACCTATGTTGTACATTGTTCTTGTGGCAACATCGGGCTGTTTTTATAAGTATTACAATAAAGACAATCACTTTTTCTTTAGAAACTTTAAATACCGTACCGTTTTTGGAGCAAAAGTTCAATTGTGCTTTGGAACTTTGTTGTAAAAGAAGGAAAAAAATATAATTGAGAATATTATAAGTATAAGCGACACATAATGTTTAGATACAGTCGATGCCCTAATGTACGTAACCCTCTAGCCGACCATTCAGTTCTGGGAGCCATTTTACGCATTCAACAGAAAAGTGTTAAAGGAATTCCAGCTTACACGTTAAATATCAAATTGTAAAAATAATTTGAAATTTAACCACTGAAAAAGTTTTCGAAATGGCGCTTTCGTCCTTTCCACAAAACACCGATGTTACGTTAATATAAAATTGCTTATTTAAGTTTAGTCTTGTAAAAAGGCTAGCTCGTTATTAGTTATAAGGTTTTGCTTTGCTTTAAAAAAAACACAAAATTACGATTTCTTTTGCAACGAATGATTGAAAATTTTTCATAGATTTGTCACAGATGGCACTACGGCAGAAAAGTCGTAAAAAAGGCAAAAACAAACATCTGCAACAAGCACAACAAAAATTCGTAAGGTCTGCTAGTACGGTCCGTAGCTCAGTTGCGAGAGCGTTGTCCTGGAATGCTGAAGACGTTGGTTCGAATCCCGCCGGATCGAAGGAATTTCTCTTTCTTCTTCCTCCAATAGCAGCTTCATTACTTGGTTTTCCATCACGACATAAAACACCACTGACTTCATCGACAGACTCTCTTGAACTGAGCGGTCGCTCCGCGACATTGTCGCGATCTTCGGAGTCTCGACCTACAGTACATGCCGAAGAGACCGAGACACTTGTCGCGGTCTCTGGTCTCTGTCTCCTGTCTCGGTCGCGGCGCGAACCGCCACCTTTAGTGTTCGAACTTTGTATTTAATAATTATAACAAGAGTGATGGAATTGTTATTTGAACTTAGTGGAAGAAATGGAAATAATGTCAGTTACAGATTACACAATATTGATGCCAATATAAGTGCACAAGTACAGCGCCGTTCGGGTTCCAAAAGCAACTTGTTACCATATTTCTGTAATTAATATATAATAATAATAATAATTTATTTAAGCCTTTTACAAGTAATGGTGTATTATAACTAAATAAGAGCTAAATGAGCTAATTGGGAAGCAATAAATACTGAGGGCTATTGCGCTTTAATTATCCACTGTAATTGTAGACAGTAATACCTACAGTCATTTAAAAAATTAAATTGATAAGACCCAATCAACCTTACCTCAATTTTATTTAGCCTTTGTTGTCAATGTACACACGCTAGCACATCAAGCTACACATTGACGTGTCTTGTTCCGTTGCAATGGAGGCGATTTTCGAACAAAAATGTGTAGTCTGATGTACCGTTGTTCGAACAATTTAAGTTAATGGTTATAACTTTTTATTTTTGCTTCATGCAGCAAAATAATGTCAAGAATTTTGAGATTGCACCCGGTGATTTAACAAAGTGTCGCCACGAAAATGTTAATTGAAATAAGCAACACAAGTAACGAAAATTTGGGAATTTCCTTTTTTTATACGGTACAATAACTACAGATTAGAAGTAATAGTTAGTAGAAAGAATATTTAGTAGTAGTAGAGCTCCTTGTGAAAGAGTTCGTCCAGGGTAGTACTGCCACCTTACCTATTTCTGCCGCCAAGCAGTAATGTCAGCATTACTGTGTTCCGATTTTGAAAGGTGCTGGTGAAATTACAGGTACTGCACTACAAGTACAGGGAGTTCTCAACTTATGTCTCAGGGTGACGGGCGCAGTGGCAGTGCCCCGCTAGCTTATCATCAGGCGCACGACTTGTTCGTCCCGTCACTCGATATTATAAAAAAAAGTTAGAATTATAACGTATGTAAGATTATAAATGTGCAAGGACAGAAGGTATTTTTTTGCCAAACACGATAAAAAAAGGCGAGTTGTCTAGACGAATA